GAAGAGAAAAAGGGTTCTTAGGTAGATGAGTTCATATTTGGACTTCAAGATGTCATGAGAAATCAAGTGAAGATCACATGTAGGTAGTGGAAATAAGAATCTGGAATTGAGGGAGAGATCCAGATTATATATCCAAATTTGGGAGTCTCATCTCGATAAGAAGGCATAAAAGATAAGATAAAGAGTGGGTGTATAGAGGAGAAGGACAAAGATGGAGACAGAATATTCTACTGTTTAGAGATCGGGGACCTAAGAAGGAATATAGAAATGATAACTAGAGCAGTGAATGAGGAAAAGGATAATCCAGAGGCCAGGTGAGAGAAATGTGTCCAGAATAAAGTGTAAATTGTATCAAATGACCCAAATTAATTGAGGACTGAACATTAACCATTGAATTTAGCCATTTTAGTTGGAAAAATGGCCTTTGGGAGGTGATTAGACTTAAATGGAGGTTTGGCCCTCATGATGGAATTAGTGCTCTTATAAGAAGAGACACAAGATAGTTTGCTCTCCATTTCTCTCCTCCAAGTGGGGACAGAAGAAGATGGCCAACTGTAAGCCACGGTGAGAGCTCTCAGCAGAACCTGACCATTGTAGGTAACCTAATCTTGGACTTACCAGCCCTCAGAACTGTGAGAAATAAGTTTCCATTGTTTAAGCAACCAAGTCTATGGTATTTACTATGTCATCCCAAGCAAACTAAGACAAAAACAGAGATATGGCATAACTATTTCAGCAGAAGACAAGAGGAATGGGGTAGAGAAATTAGAATTGCTAGTTAGCATGAAGGGCTGATTTGAGATTAGAACTGATACATTTACTAGTAGAGTGAGACCTATCAGCCTGAGAGTGTTTTTCACAAGTTACCTTTCTTTGTGCAGGTGCAGAATCACAGAAAGCCATCTTTTACTGCACATGTAGTAAAAGTTGATGAGAGCAAGACAACTAAGCAGTTGTTACATGTCCAGCCATAGTGGAGAAACTATGGGTATCTATACTAATAATAGAGGAATACGCAAATTGTCCAGGATGCCGTCACAGTAACAGTAATGACCAGCAGGCAACCAGGCCAGCAGGGGGGTCAGTTGGGGGCGACCAGGCCAGCAGGCAGAGGCGGTTAGGGGTTATCAGGCTGGCGGGGGGGGGGGGGGCAGTTAGAGGCGATCAGGCAGGCATACAGGTGAGCAGTTAGGAGCCAGCGGTCCCAGATTGTGAGAGGTATGTCCGACTGCCGGTTTAGGCCCAGGGGTTCCCCATAGGTGTGGATGGAGTCGGCGAAGAAGGAATGACACGGAGGCAGCGTTCAGGTGATCATCATAGCTAGGTTCCTCTAGCCAGGAAATTATCAGGCGGATTTACTAACTCGCCCAGTAGTTTGTACAGCTCTAGAAGAAACCCGGAGGTCTCATGCCATTCACCATCAAAATGCTTCTGCTCTCCGTCTATATTATCGCATATCTAGAGAAGCTGCTCGAAGTATTGTGTGTGCAATAATTTGCAAGGTGCAATAATTTGCCCTTTACTTTCAAAAGGATGTTCTTTTATGCCTTAGCCACTTGTGCCTTAAAAGCTTCACCAATGTGGAAAGGTCACTATTATATACATTTGCTGTGCTGTTGCAGGGCCCTTCTTCATAGGAACCCAGCCTATCATTCATCAATGGGTTTTAGGCCTGAAAAGTGGCTCAGGTTTGGAAACTTGGTAAAGGGTTATACATTTCATTGGGATAATTGGCCTCATCTTTCTGCTCACACACTCCTAATCACTTTTGATTTTAAATATTTAGCAATGTTCTTGTTGGTTGCCCATTTATCTTATACCTGTGAGTAAATGTTTTATAAGCCTTCACCATAGAAGCTTATAAGTCAGGCCCTCCTGGCTGCTCTCCCAACCTTGCTGTTCATTATGGCAGTTATTCCCACCTAGCTTCTGTCAGTATAGTGCCACCACCTGGCCCATACCATTCCATGATTTAGTCCATGATCCTGTCATCATCATTGACACTAAGGGTTTGGCTCTGTAATAGTACCTCCTACTGTTAGTCATGGCCCAAAGAGACGGAGCTTTTCAATGATGCTGGTGTCCGTCTTACCAGCACATTCCTTATTTCTTTGGTAAATGGGATATTTTCTGGGTCTTCCCATAGAATACAGTTGGCTGGTAGGATGTTTAGACCTTGAGAAGTATATCTATCCTTGCATGCTCTGTTCTCTGAACCTTTTGACTTTTCCCCCCACTGTCTGTCCCAGCAGCTCTAGCATGTTTCCGTCATGTAGTATGGGCCATAACTTCCTTCCTGCTGCCAAAAGCCATCCTGGCAGATGTTAGTAGCACCTCATACAACTTTTGCTAAGGTATTAAATTCAGTATTATAGGAGAGTACTCTCCTTTCAATAAATTCTCCCTTACCTATCTTTATATTTTGCATCTCTTAATCCAGAAATCTCATTTTCTTGTCCCATATATACTCTCCTGGCTCCTACCAGTTCACGCTGGGTTGCCCTGTACTCTCAGTGTATAGTGTCTCTTTCCTTCTTTTCCCAGGCTCAACAATTCCTCAAATAAGAGTTATGCTGAAATGGACTCCAATATTTTTTTAAAAAACTAGGGTTTTATAGGTAGGGATAGATCCTGAGAGGTAATGTGTTGTCTTTCAAGAATAAATCTCTGCATCACCTTAAGCAAGAGACAGGGTAGCTTTTAAGAGAAGAGGTGAGATATTTACTGGCCCATAGGGCTCAGCTAGATTTGGGTTTCAAAGTTCTCCACTGTATGGACCCAGATATTCTCATTCTTAGTTTTAGGGTCCCACTTCTTTTTTGTCTTTCATTCATTTTATTTTATTATATTTATTTTTATTGTCTAAATTTGACAACCCCCCAATTGACCCCCCCCAGTCATTTCCACTCCGGGCAAGCCCCCACTGCCCCAGTGTCTGTGTCCATTGGTTATGCTAATATGCATGCATACAGTCCTTTGGTTTCTCTCTACTCCCCCCCCCCACTCCCCTACAATTTGTCTCTGGATCTATTCTTGTTCATCAAATTATGTTGATCATTATATCCCACATATGAGTGAGGTCATATAATATTTATCTTTCTCTGACTGGCTTACTTAACTTAGCATAATGCTTTCCAGTTCCATCCATGCTGTTGCAAATGGTAAAAGTTCCTTCTTTTTTATAGCAGCATAGTATTCCATTGTGTAGATGTACCACAGTTTTTTTAATTAAATCTTTATTGTTCAGATTATTAGTTCTTCCTCTTCCCCCCCCCCATAGCTCCCCTTCACCTGGTTCCCACCCCACCCTCTGCACTTACCCCCCCCCCCACTGTCCTCATCCATAGGTGTAAGATTTTTGTCCAGTCTTTTCCTGCACCCCCACCCCTTTCCCCCCAAGAATTGTCAGTCCACTCCCTTTCTATGCCCCTGATTCTATTATATTCACCAGTTTATTCTGTTCATCAGATTATTTATTCACTTGATTTTTAGATTCACTTGTTGATAGATATGTATTTGTTGTTCATAATTTTTATCTTTACCTTTTTCTTCTTCTTCCTCTTCTTAAAGAATACCTTTCAGCATTTCATATAATACTGGTTTGGTGGTGATGAACTCCTTTACCTTTTTCTTATCTGTGAAGCTCTTTCTCTGACCTTCAATGCTGAATGATAGCCTTGCTGGGTAAAGTAATCTTGGTTGTAGGTTCTTGGTATTCATCACTTTGAATATTTCTTGACACTCCCTTCTGGCCTGCATTGTTTCTATTGAGAAATCAGCTTACAGTTGTATGGGTACTCCCTTGTAGGTAACTAACTGTTTTTCCCTTGCTGCCTTTAAGATTCTCTCTCTGTCTTTTGCTCTTGGCATTTTAATTATGATGCGTCTTGGTGTGGTCCTCTTTGGATTCCTTTTGTTTGGGGTTCTCTGCACTTCCTGGACTTGAAAGTCTATTTCTTTCACCAGGTAGGGGGGAAGTTTTTTGTCATTATTTCTTCAAATAGGTTTTCAATATCTTGCTCTCTCTCTCCTTCTGGCACCCCCATAATTCAGATGTTGGTACGCTTGAAGTTGTCCCAGAGGCTCCTTACACTATTTTCATATTTTTGGATTCTTTTTTCTTTTTGTTTTTCCGGTTGGGTGTTTTTTGCTTCTTCGTATTTCAAATCTTTGACTTGATTCGACAGTTTTTTTAATCCACTCATCTTCTGATGGGCACTTAGGTTGTTTCCAAATCTTAGCTATTGTAAATTGGGCTGCTATGAACATAGGGGTGCATATTCCTTTCTGATTGTTTCTAGTTTCTTGGGATATAGTCCTAGAAGTGGGATCACTGGGTCAAATGGGAGTTCCATTTTTAGTTTTTTGAGGAAACTCATTACTTGCTGGAAGCCAGTCCATCCTTGCTGCTTGACATAGTCACTGTAGGGAAGAAACATCTGCACAGCATGTTTCAAGGGACCTGGTGTATATGGCATACTGTTCTTAATATGTTTGCTCTCCTTCTTAGAGCTATGTGTTTTAACCAAGGTCACCTCTCTGAGAAAGGTTGTTTCCCCAGGTGAGGATTTTTTCCTGAAGTTAGGGAGGGAATAAAACCCCTTAACTAAATGCCAGGCGGGTAGTTAATACTTTAACTATGAACAATCACGCTTAAGCTACATAATCTTTACTCCCTGGAATGGAGATAAGAAACACCCTAACCTTTGGAATAGAAATTGATAGGATTAAAATCAACTGGTATAAATACAGATGTAACAAGACAATAAAAGACAGAACCTGGCTGGAGAACCTGGACAGAACCTGGCTGGAGATCCTGGCTAGAGAACCTGGCTAGGCTGCTGATCAACTGAACGCTGCCTCCGTGTCATTCCTTCTTCGCCGCACCTTTGCGAACCCCTGGAACTGCTGGGCCCAGACCCTCAGGGACTAGGGGGGGAGGAGGGATCTCTCAAGACCTGAATGGGGAAAAGGCTGTGCGGGGCTGTGGCGGGGAGAACGGCCTCCTGGAATCAATAGAAGCTCGGGAAAATGGAAGAACTGAGTCAAGCCCTGGCTAGTAGCTTTTCTGTTTCTCAAGATCTGAATAGCACAGCTGCTCCACACCCTCGCCTGTCCCAGTACAAGTCCAAGTACAGTTCTCTGGAGCAGAGTGAGCGGCGTCAGCAGTTATTGGAAGGGCAGAAATTCAAGCGGCTGGATTATGTGAATCATGCCAGAAGACTGGCTGAAGATGACTGGACAGGGATGGAGAGTGAGGAAGAAGATAAGAAATATGATGAAGAAATGGACATTGACACTGGCAAGAAGTTACCAAAACGCTATGCTAATCAATTGATGCTTTCTGAGTGGTTAATTGACGTCCCTTCGGATTTGGGGCAGGAATGGATTGTGGTTGTGTGCCCTGTTGGAAAAAGAGCGCTTATCGTGGCCTCCAGGGGTTCTACCAGTGCCTACACCAAGAGTGGTTACTGTGTCAACAAGTTTTCTTCACTCCTGCCAGGAGGCAACAAGCGAAACTCAACAACTGCAAAAGACTATACCATTCTGGACTGCATTTACAGTGAGGCGAAGCAGACCTACTACATTCTGGATGTGATGTGCTGGCGGGGCCACCCTTTTTATGACTGCCAGACTGATTTCCGATTCTACTGGATGCATTCAAAGTTATCAGAAGAAGAAGGACTGGGAGAGAACACCAAGCTCAATCCTTTTAAATTTGTGGGGCTAAAGAATTTTCCTTGTACCCCTGAGAGCCTGTGTAAGGTGCTGTCGATGGATTTCCCTTTTGAGGTGGATGGACTTCTCTTCTACCACAAGCAGACCCACTATAGCCCTGGAAGCACTCCTCTGGTGGGCTGGCTACGCCCGTACATGGTGTCAGATATTCTTGGTGTGGCTGTGCCAGCTGGGGGCCCACTGACCACCAAGCCAGAGTATGCTGGGCACCAGCTCCAGCAGATTATTGAGCACAAGAGGAGCCAGAAGGAGGGCATGAAAGAGAAACCCACACATAAGGCCTTTGACAGTGGGCACTATGAGCTGGAGCATCTGTCCACCCCTGAGCTGAAGAGTGATCCCCACAGCTTGGACCAACTTGGGAGTCGCCTGGAAAACTAAAGAGAGCAGCCTCCTTTGGGTGTCACAGGGAGGTGCTTGGTTTCAGAACAAAGGTTGGGGAGGAGGACAGTGATGACAATAGGTGACTTCATTTTAGAGTGGACTTTCCAAAGCCACTCCAGCTGGAAACAGCTTAAAAAATAAAAAAAAATAAAAAAAGAGGTGGCTGCTGATTTACATGCACTATCATTTAAAAAATAAAAAAGGGGGAATTTGCTGGAAGCCGGTCCATCCTTGCTGCTTGACATAGTCGCTGTAGGGAAGAAACATCTGCACAGCATGTCTCAAGGGACCTGGTGTATATGGCATACTGTTCTTAATATATTTGCTCCCCTTCTTAGAGCTATGTGTTTTAACCAAGGTCACCTCTCCGAGAAAGGTTGTTTCCCCAGGTGAGGATTTTTTCCTGAAGTTAGGGAGGGAATAAAACCCCTTAACTAAATGCCAGGCGGGTAGTTAATACTTTAACTATGAACAATCACGCTTAAGCTACATAATCTTTACTCCCTGGAATGGAGATAAGAAACTCCCTAACCTTCGGAATAGAAATTGATAGGATTAAAATCAACTGGTATAAATACAGATGTAACAAGACAATAAAAGACAGAACCTGGCTGGAGAACCTGGACAGAACCTGGCTGGAGATTCTGGCTAGAGAACCTGGCTAGGCTGCTGATCAACTGAACGCTGCCTCCGTGTCATTCCTTCTTCGCCGACTCCGTCCACACCTTTGGGAACCCCTGGACCTGCTGGGGCTGGACCCCAACAATTACTGTCTTCCACAGTGACTGCACCAGTCTGCATTCCCACCAGCAGTGCAGTAGGGTTCCTTTTTCTTCACATTCTCACCAGGACTTGTCATTTGTTGATTTGTTGATGATAGCCATTCTGACAGGTGTGAGATGGTATCTTATTGTTGTATTGATTTGCATCTCTTGGATTATTAGTGTCTTTGAGCCTGTTTTCATATGTCTCTGGGCCTTCTATATGTCCTCTTTCAAAAAGTGTCTATTTAGATCCTTTGCCCATAGGGTCCCACTTCTTAATTGAAGCCTTTTCTCTGGTGTAGCAATGCTGCCAGGGTTAGAGTTCAACATTCTCTGAAGTTTCACTATCCTTAAAATTATGTTATTGGACTGACTTTAGCTTTTTTCCACCTTTCAGCATGTGATGCAGATCAAAGTAGCACTTAGAGTCTCCTTTCTAGGATCATTTCTGGTGCCCACCATCTCAGGTTGAGTTTCTTGAAAATGGATCTGAGATGAAGTTTTGTGTGTAGGATGTTTATTGGTAATTTCCCTCAGGAGCAATGCCTATAAGGAAGTACAGGAAGCAGAACTAGATAGATACAGAAATTCTACTGTGATGGAGCTGAGACAGCTCTTCAGAGTTATCCACAAATAACTCTGAAGAACAGGTCTTATACTTTGTGTTAACCAGACATTGGATGTAGGCTTTCCTAGGGCAGATATTGTAACTTTGGATGAGATGGGTCCCTTAGACAAAGAGCAATTTCAATGGAGAGATGTGGCTATGCAATATCAGCAGCTAACACTTCAGTGTATTATTTCTGATAAGGGCATCTAAACAGTGTGCCTTAGCATACAATGCAAAACATAACACATTTCCACATTTATATATTTATTTTAAGACTAAAGGCCCAATGCATGAAGATTCGTGCAAAAATGGGCCTTCCTCCTGGCTGCTGGCACTGCCTTCGCTCTGGCCGGAGCCTCCTTTCTGCCTTCCCTCTGGCCTGGAGCCGACTTTCTGCCTTTGTTCTGGCCCAGAGCCCCTTTCTGCTTTCCCACACTGCCCAGAGGCCTGGAGCTGCTGGGGCAGTATGGAATGCCCGTGTCATCGCCATGGCAACGACACAAGCATCCGGCCCCACCCCTGGCCGCTTGGCACCTGCGTATGCAAATTAACCCACGATCTTTTTTGGGTTTATTTGACTGGCTGATGGACATCACGAAGGTATGGTCAATTTGCATATTTCTTTTTTATTAGTGTAGATGATAGAGTATGAACTCAAGAGAAAAGGGATCTTGTCTGTCTTATACATTGCCAGATTCTCATAATTTAGAACAGTTTGGCTTAGTATTTACTCAAAAGTATTCGTTGACTAAATGATTGAAATGAATAATTAATGCATATTTATAGGTGCATTTGTAAACTGAAAATAATTTAGCACATCACAAAGACTACAAATAAATGAAAACATACTAGTAAATGGGAAAGCATCCTAAAGTATGTCTCTTCCCTCACATTCAAGTATAAATCTACCGTGAGATTTTTTCATTTTCTGACATGAAACCACTTCTAATGCATTAAATGAATTGATGAATGTCATTGCAATATACTTGTTTTAAACAACAGCTTTCTATTCTGATGTAGATTCTTTGTGAACTGACTTGGCTATAATATTAAAGAATATTAAGATAGATATTATAATTGGATCAGCTCTGTGGTTGGATTGACTCACAAAGGAAATTTTGGGTTTGCACCTATGTCTCATTAATATTTACATTCAACTCCCTTCCAACCACTTTCTGCTTTTGTTTTAAACATAGACTTTCAAATATTTTTATGATTCTATAAACATAGAGAATCTTTTGAAACAATTTTTTCTAATCATATTCTATTAAACATTGGCACTGTCCCGTATGGGGTGAGAAGAAAAAGTAAGTCTGAAATGTCATCTTGTCCACTCTTTAAATACTTTGAATGCAAAATGTCACAAGAACTCAATATTAGTAAAACACTTACTTTTCGCCATATTAATAACTACCATGTGTGAGTTCAGGTTTGGAATGGAAAACAAATGGACAGCTAATTATGAAAAGCAAATATCAGGAATGGCAGCAATGAAGAGTTCTAAAGATCTGCTCCCTAGCAAAACAAATATAAACTGGCAAAAATAATTAAAAAAAATTCAAGTCTTTGGTATTTGTGCTGAAGGCATGCAACATATGAAGAAAGATTTATTTAAGAAAGTCTACTCAAACTTGTTAAGAATAACAAGGCTCTGTGGCACTTAACTCAAGACCCATTCTTTTTTTTTTTTAATTCATCTTTTGTTCACCTAGCACATAGTAGGCACTCTACAAAATGTTTACTGATGACAGAGTGAGGTAGAAGTTTGAGGAGGTGTGAGGTTGAAAGCTAGTGATGCTCCCAGTAGGTGGTCAGGTAGCAAAGGCTACACAACTAGAGACCAGCAGGGGAAGAGGTCCAGGGAGGACTGTGAAGGGTCAGAGACCTGGCAGTTAGGGCAGTCAGGATTAGGAATGAGACACAGAATGAGCAACAATGTCAATTTAAAAAATATATAGTACTTTGGTGTCAAGTGTTTAGCTATATATTTAAAAGCTTAGGCAACCGTTTAACCATTCAACTGTTCAACCAGTAGCTATGATGCGCACTGACCACCAGGGGGCAGATGCTTAACACACAGGCATGGAAACATGGAACAGACTGAACACATAGGCATGGAAACATGGAACAGACTGATGAATTTCAGAGGGAAGTGCGTAGGGGGGTGGGCAGGAAGAGAGTAACCAAAGATCTTAAATGCATACTAGAGGTCCCTTGGCCCGGCCTGCAGGGATCGGGCCAAAACTAGCAGTCTGACATCCCCCAAGGGGTCCTGGATTGTGAGAGGGCACGAGTCAGGCCGAGGGACCCCACCGGTGCATGAATCTGTGCACCAGGTCTCTAGTATCTATATTTATAAAAGCCTAAGTGACCATTATGACCGAATGACCAGAATGACCAGTCGACCAGTCACTATGATGCGCACTGGCCACCAGGGGGCAGACAATCAATCAACACAGGAGCTGCCCCCTGGTGGTCAATGTGCTCCCACAGCCAACTTCCCTTGGCCCCTCCATCTCCCCCACCCCCTGAGCTGGCCAACCTCCTGCAGTCCCTCCCCTGGCTGGCCAGACTCCCAATAGGCCTCGATGCTGGCCAGGCCGAGGGACCCCACCCATGCACGAATTTGTGCACCGGGCTTCTAGTAATATAATAAACAAGAACATCTTACTTATGTGATCTTGATTGGCCATATAATTTTTCTGACTTGCTTTTCTAGAAATTTGGTTTTTAGATCATCAAAATTTATAATTTTGGTAATATCATTTTCTTTTTAAAAATATATTTTTATTGATTTCAGAGAGGAAGGGGGGAGAAAGATAGAAATATCAATGTTGAGAGAGAATCATTGATCTGTTGCCTCATGCACACCCCCCACCTGGGGTAGAGCCTGTAACCTGGGCATGTGACCTGACTGGGAATTGAACTGTGACCTCCTGGTTCATAGGTCAATGCTCAACCACTGAGCAATGCCGGCTGGGTTTCTTTTCTTTTCTTTTCTTTTCTTTTCTTTTCTTTTCTTTTCTTTTCTTTTCTTTTCTTTTCTTTTCCTTTCTTTTCTTTCTTTTCTTTTCTTTTCTTTTTTTAAAAAAACCTTATCTTTATTATTGAAAGTATTACAGTGTCCCCTTCTTTTCCCACATTCCATGACCCATTCTTTCATTTCCATGCCTAGTACATTCTGATTGAAATTCCACACTGTATAAGTATGGCGAAGATGATGGAAGTCCTCTTTCCTAAACTCCCAGTCAAAGGATACAGTATCTCCCATGGAGGGACAGCCTGCCATACCCTCTTACTCTGATTGCAGAGACTAAATTCATAGTGAATTTGGCTGCGAGGTGAGGAGTGCCCTCTTTTCATCTAGCCTCTGTTCACAGGGAGGAGGTTCTACCGAGGCATGGCAGGTGAGAATCCTGGGGCCTGGATTACTTTCCCTCCAACCCACTACTCATGTACAAGTTCCATTCCAAGAGAGGCAAACTGAGAAAACCTTCCCAGGGCCCAGCACATTGGCTCTGATACTTTTTTTTTTTTCCCAAGCAGAGAGGCAATCCATAAGAACAGACACCTACAAAGCTTTCCTTAAAGGAAGTGATTCTATTTGAAACACAGTGTGGGGAAGTTCAAGCCTAAGAGTGCTCTCAAAGACTATGGAGATTTTGGTGGTAAACAAGAGGCAGTTGATACATCTATGATAGCAACAGCCTAAAGCAGTGGCCAGCTAGTTTACCAAAGAGAATCAGCAAAGGAG